GACATAACTTCTGTCAGTGTCTTGACATAAATACACTTGTCACATTCGTTGATTCTAAACCCATTTGACAACATTACATTGTCAAACTTCTCATGCCATTGTTTAGGCGCTTGTTTCAAACCATACAAAGATTTGACAAGTTTACAGACTTTCTTGCTTTGTCCTGGAGCTGAATACCCTTCAGGTTGCTCCATGTAGATTTCTTCATTCAAATCCCCATTTAAGAAAGCCGTCTTTACATCCACCTGGTGTATCTCAAGATTGTGCAAAGCTGCTATCGCAATCACCATGCGAATGGATGTCATCCTAGTTACAGGTGAGTACGTATCAAAGTAATCTAGGCCTTCTCATTGCCTGTACCCTTTGATAACGAGCCTCGCCTTATACTGGTCAATTGACCCATCAGCCTTCATCTTTCTTTTAAAAATCCATTTGCAGCCTAAAGGCTTGCAACCTGGAGGTAAATCTACCAACTCCCAGGTGTGGTTCTGTAAGATGGAGTCAATCTCACTTTTGATCGCTTCTTTCCATAAAGGACTCTCAAGAGAAGTCACAACTTCGTGGAAAGTTTGAGATTCGTTCTCAACCATATAAGTCAAGAAGTCTAGACAAAAAGATTTGGATATCCTAGCCTTTTTACTCCTTCTAGGCTCATCTAAAACCTCAATTTGATCATCACCTGAATCATCAACATGATCATCCTCACTAACAAGCTCATCAAATTGCTCCAAAGACCTTGGAACCCCTTCATGGGTTCGGCAAGGAAAAATGTCTTCAAAGAAACATGCATTCCTTGACTCCATGATGGTATTCCTGTGTATGTCTGGGATTTCAAACTTATGTACAAGAAATCGATATGCACTACTATTATGTGCATAACCAATGAATATACAATCCACGAATTTTGGGCCTATCCTGACCCGTTTGGGTGTAGGAATCGCCACTATTGCAAGATACTCCCACATTCGTAAGAATTTATAAGAAAGCTTAACGCCTTTTCCATAACTCATACGGGATCTTGTCCACTTCACTTCAACACAAGTTTCACACTTGTGTTTCGTCAGAACAATCTTGTCGGACTCAAAAACCATGCGAAAACATGTTTATTGAGAAGAGACCTTGAGACAAGATTTTAACGAATGTCCGGAACATATAGGACTTCGTTCAAGGTTAGCTCGCTTCCTGAGGTTAACTTCAGGACCACCTTTCCCTTAACAAATGAGGTAGTAGAGTTTCCCAAAAACAACTTCTCACCATTTGTAACCGGTTTGAAAGTTGTAAACAGCTCATTCTCGGAGCAGATATGGCGTGTAGCCCTAGTAAAACTAAAACCCCTCACTACCACAATTGTAGCACTTCCCAAAGAACCGATAACCAGGTTCCCGCGGCTTGTGTGCCAGCTTCTTTTGCAACACCACCCCTTGGTCCCAGCTTAGAGCCCTTGTTCACGGGGGGGCTTCTTCCTTACCCCAGAAGATTTGCCATGCTCAATGACATTGGCCTTCACTGAGGAGGTACTCCCTCATTTCTTTCTATTATCTTCCTCAATTCGGAGTCGGATAATTAAGTCTTCTTTGTAGAATTTATACAAAGTATTAAACAAATCTTTGTGTCACAATAATTATGAAACTCTCAAAATCATATCACAGTAAAAACATTCCCAGAATGTCATTAACCGAATTTAAGCACCCAAATATAATTGGTCCAACCTATCACTCTGAAGCTAATAGTCGTACTATTAGGAAATACAAATCCAGTGTTCAATAGTCTACTATTTGGAACTTCATAACATGGCCAGTAGTCTTATCACTAGGAATCACTAATTTCTCAACATGTGGTCAGTAGACTTTCTACTACTAGGAATCACAATGTCTTAACCTATGATCAGTAGTCACTTTACTACTAGGAATCACAAGGTCCTGACATAGGATCAATAGACTCTTTCATTACTAGGAATCATCATGTCTTGACATATGACCGGTAGCCTCTCCACTACTAGGAACCATGATGTCTTGACATGTGATCAGTAATCTGTTCACTACTAGGAACCACAATCTCATAACTGTGTAGCCAGTGGTCAAACACCTCCTAGGAACCACCAATTTTGTTTCTCTGTGATCAGTGATCTTGTACTCACTAGGAGCCACCAATTTAAGAATATATTTGGAATTTAAAAATTCAAAAAATATTCAGCCACTATAACAGGTTGTCTCATCTTTGCTTTCAAGCAAAGTCATATAGCAATCACAAGGATAGCAAACTAATTGCCTCTGATCAAATCAGAGAAATTTTAATGCAATCTTAGGATTTCCTTTAATGATACTTGATCTCTCAAGATCTTCCTTTAAGAATCTCGTGAGGCTAAGGTTGTTAGGTGGAACAACATTTCTGTTTGTCACCTTTTGAAGCCATTTCTGAAACATCACAACAGAATTTCACTTCTGTGATTTCAGAAATTAAACTTAACCCTTAGAAAATCCCTCAGATGGAAATTTAATTCAAAACTAGTCTCACCATTTAACCTAGAATCGAACATGGTCAGGAATGTTCCCAGGAAGACTGGATGGGTCACATCGGTCCCACTTAAAACCCAGTTAACCTTTTGACAAAACATCCAAGAGCATGTTGACTCCTAGTCCATAGGAAACAATTTTAAAATTAAGATTTCCAGGGGATAAACCAGGTTATAACAAACCGATTTCCAAGCAAATAAAATTTGCTACCAGAATTACACCATTCATAAAAGTTAACCGGTACTCCCGGAACTGAGCCCATTATTTCTGAATAAAATCAGAAATATGTTAGCTAAAACTAAAATTTGGTTTTCTTTCTCAAAACCAAAACACTTGGGACATAATCAGATTATAACCAAAGACTTTCTCCAAACTTGGTTTTCCAACACTTTGGGAATAAAATGATTAAACCCAAAAACTTCCTCAAACTCCAAAGGTTTGAAACCAAATCCATCTTAGTTGTCATTTCTGAACAAATAAGAACTACTCTTTAGCCAAGGCTAAACACTTTGGTTTCTATTACAAAAAACCAAACCAAATTCCAAATTTACAAGCAATTTAAAAATTGCTACAACCAAATACATGCATATGAAATGCTACTAATAAAACCAACAAATAAAACATGCTATCACAAATTGATAAACAAACCAACTAAATCTCAAGCAAAACATGCTTCAAACATTTAAATAAAATAGCCAATCCATAAGGATTCTATTTAGTCCAAAAGCCTTTCCACGCTTAGGTATTCCTATTCAACACAAAAGTTAGTAGTCCAAATATTTTTTGTTTTTTACATCCCAAATACTATTCATTTGGTTTTGTATTTGTTTTTCCATTCCCTTTCGCATTGGTATGCCTACAAAAAAAGTTAGTAGCAAACCATAACAAAATACAAACAAATAATCTAAGAAAAAATAAATATAATAAATAATAGAAACCATCTAGCCAACTATTTATAAAATTAACCAATGAATTAAAATGCCAATTTAATTAAAACTTTAAAAAAAAGTTCAATACTCATGAGTTATGAATGAAATTAATTCATAATAAACATTTAAACTAATAACTCTAAATAAATAAGTTAATTCAAAGTTAATGCACCCAATTAAATAATTCAGATTAATGCACCCAATTAGATAATTTAGATAATGCCACCAAATAAATTCAAATTAATGCACCCAATTAAATAATTTAGATTAATGCCACCCAATTAAATAATTCACATTAATGCACCCAATTAGATAATTTAGATTAATGCACCCAATTAATTCAAATTAATCATGTACACAATTCATAAAAATTCTATAACTCTAAATACATAAACTAAAATTAATAAGCAAAAGTTACAAACCAATAACCATTTAGCAATTAACATATGCAAATAATTCTAAAAACAAATTATGTAATCTATAGTCTAAAAAATATAAAAGCGTAACAAATTAAAACTAGAATAGAATTAGCATGTCAAAATTGCAACATCCATAAATTATATTTTATAACCTTAAAATTCATGCAAATTATGATAGAGAATTCTAACTAAACTAAGCAATTAGAGAGTACCATTGCATAATTTACAATCATTGAAATAATGAGCAATTCCGCAACAATTCGTAGTAACATTATACAAAGCTAACCTAATAGTCTATATAAATCTATTCGATCAATTTCATAGAAAATATATATAAAATCTGTTTTAAACTTGTTGTTCAAATTGTGAAATTAAATAAATAGATTTATAAAGAAATCAAATTATATACCAAGAACATATGCTGATAATTACAATTAAATTTCAACAGAAATACACAAAATAATAAAAGGGTAAAGAGACGAAACCGAAGCCTGCACGGAAGCAGTTTCCTTAAAACAGATTTCGCCGCCTCACAGGTCGAGTGCTTGAGGAATCCCTGCGTCTGTCTCCCAGGATACGACGGTCAAAACCAGCTACGGCAGAAGCACTTTCTGTCTAGCTTAGCGAACAAGAACAGTGGCAGCACTCTCTCAATGTAGGAACTTTTTGGCAAACTGGCTTGTAAAATGGAAGCAAAAAATTTCTATATTGAAACTTGATAGGAGGGTCTCAATTTATACATGTAAAGGGAAGAGAAGAAGAGCCTCCAGCCTTTAAGGCTGGTCATTAAAACACCAAGCATCCATAGCCCCTTTCAAAAAATATGAAAGTTTGGATGCCCAAAGGATTCACACCCTTTAGCCAAGAAAAAAGATTTAAATACTCTTTAAAATCCTATTCATGAATCTAACATCATGAGGCAATTTCTTGGCAATTTTTTATTCAAAACCCAATGATTTTTGGCTCACTTGGACCTAACACAATAAAAGGTTGGGATCCACTTTAATATTTAATTAAAGTCACCACACTTTAATATTAAATTAAAGTCACCAAAAATCATTTTTTCCAACAAACTGAACACCCCATATGAGTTCATGCAACATTGCTTTCAGGAGTTGAACACCTAAAACAGAGGAATGGAATACATGCAATTAACAAAGCTTATATAGCAAATCATATTTATAAATACATCCATAGGGCCATACTATTTCAAATAAACATGACATAGATAGATGTGTCTTCAACCAAGAATTATTCTTTATATTTGTCTCTTCTTCCTTTCCTCACCCTCTCTTTAAACTTGAGCAATTACATTTCTAATCCTTCGTAGTTCCTTGAGAACATCTTTAATATCCATCCGCTCTTTTGGGCCTTCAGCAGAACAAGCAACTCCAATTTGAAGTATTGATGCCAAGCATTCCTGGGTTACATTGCCTTCAGTATTTTGGCTGATCCTACTAGATGTGTCTCTCTCTTCCATTATGATTTGTGGATCAACAATTTCCATCACTCGATGTGGGAGAGCCATCTTAGCATAACATGGAGGTTGAAATTGTTTGTAAACATGTAGTTGGTTGGTCTTTTTCCTGTAAACATTTCCAGTAAAAGGATTCCATAGCTGTACAAATCACCTTGTGTCGATATGTCTCCACCCATACCGTATTCTTCATTTTGAATTGGGGGAAAGGCAAAGAAAAAGAAAAGAATGAACTTGTAAGCCTTTTCAATATTTCCAAACTTATGATCTTTTAGGGATTAGTTTGAAGCACTCATGGACATGACATGACTAAATAGTGGTGGTATGTCTTCAACATCATCCTGGATTCACATGACACTAACTTATTGTTAGAAGATAATTTGATATAATAAAAAGGGTGACCCTATGAAAGAAACTTCTGCTAAGACGGGGCCTAGGAAGGCAACAAAAAATTATATCATAATCACAATAAATTTATCCAACACTATTAGGCAAGAAGATTAGATGTATGAATATTTAAGTGGATTTCGATTACCTGGAGCAATGTACCCAACTGTTCCTCTAACCCCAATTGAACTGCTTCGTGCATAGTTGGAGTCTCCTGTGGTAGCTATAAGAAATTTTGCTAGGCCAAAATCACCTACACGGGCAGAGAGATTGTTGTCAAGAAGAACATTGCCCGGCTTCAAATCACAATGAGCGATTGGTATATCATAATGGTGATGAAGATATTCCAATGCCAAGGCTACATCAATTGCTATGTTTAGCCTTTGGGTTAGGTTCAAGTTCTCTGTGTCATTCTGTTCAAGTGAACTTGGATATAACCAACTTTCTAAACTCTCATTTTGCATGAACTCAAAGACTAAAGCTTTGAAATCATTGCCTTTAAAATCTATACTTGAGCAAGAGGTGATGACCTTGACCAGATTCCGATGACGAAGGTTTCGTAATGCTTCACATTCTGCCAAAAAGCTCTTGTTTGCTCCACTTTCTTGAAGGTTGAGTACTTTCACAGCAACAGTTTGCTTATCAGAATTGAGGATCCCCTTATAAACAGAACCATATCTTCCCTTTCCAATCAAGTTGTTGTTGGAAAATTGGTTTATATAAGGCATATTTTGGGCCGACTTTGAGCCTAAAATTGAGTGGGCCCCGAACGTCTTTTGGGGCGGGTCCGAAGAGTTGAAGCGTTCCTTGCCGCGTGGCAAGTCACACGGTGAAGACAGTTCGTCAAAACCATTTATGAGTGAATGGTAAGTTGGCGTCGTTTTCAGGTCTAACATTAATTTTTTTTAGATAAAATTCATTTGAATTTTTTCAATCAAAATTATTATGGGAATTTAATTTAATTCTAAATTCAAATTTTTGGTTTCTAAGTGGTTTCGTAAAGTTTGTAATTTTGAGAATTTAATTTAATTCTAAATTCAAATTTTAGTTTTCTAAAGTTTGTACCTTTTCCTTTATTGATTAAACTATTCAAATAGTTTAATAATAATTTTCCAAACAGTTAGTAAACACTTTTCCACTAATTGGCTTGTTTGATAAAAATATTTAAATAGTTTTAATAATAAAATATTTCCAACAGTTTTTGGACTTGGTCTCCAAGGTACTATTTTCAAATAGTGTAATAAAACAAATATACCAACACTTTTATACTTGGACCAACAGTTACTTTTTCAAAGTTTGAATAAAAGTGTTGATTGGCAAACAGACAGAATCTATTTATAACAGGTTGCACCTGTTCGGACCGCTGGATTTGTCTATATATAGAGCCATATTCCAGCAGTCTAAACCCTCGGAGATTATCAGTCTGTTTTTTGTCTCTTTACTGTCTATTCTGTTATATTGCATTTATTCTTCATATATTAGTTTTAGATTAAATTTAAGAGAGTATAGAACAGAAGGTTTGGTTCGCCATATAATTTTGTTTGGTGTGCTACAACAATTTTGTGAAGATCATTGTATCCTGAGAGATAGACGCCACTCAACCGTAACCACCATAGCGGGGCAAATCTATCTTAAGGACAGAGTGTCACACACTCGACTTGGTCTTAATTTTAATTCAGTTCGATAAATAAATCCGGTATGTTATTTATTTATTTTGTTTGAATTTATTTCTAGTTATTTTATTTACACAGAAGATTGTTCCAACAGTTGTCTGAAGAGAATCCATTGGTAGATTGATGTAGTTCTGCATAAGAAAGTTGTGGATATTGGTTCTTCTTTGTTGAGGACGAAGAGGGTTGTTGTTTGGAATTTCTAAATCGATAAATAACAGCACAAACACATACTCCTAATAAAATGATAGAAATCCCAATGCTGGTTGCAACCAATCTTACTGCATGTGTAGAAGGCTTTTGCCTTTCTGTGGGACATGCAGGCAATTGTAATTGCTTAACCCCTCCACATAGATTTATGTTCCCTATAACTGAAAATAAACTGATGTGTTAGGTTTTATTCTTGGCAATTCCGTTTGACAAAACTCCTTTCAGTTGTATTTATTTTCGCACTTTTATTTCAGTGAGGCTATGAGTGTTTAGATGCAAATCCAACCCGAATTGTGCCTTTCAGAGAAGTTTGTGATGCTAATGCTTTCAAGATTGCCACTTCACTGATTATGTCGGGGATCGAGCTGCCTGGTCAGCTCGCGGGGGTCCAGAGGGCAGCGCCTCTTGGCGGGTCCGGGGCAGCGCCCCCGAAGAAAAATGCAAAAATGCATTCCAAATTGCCTGTCCGCTCGAGCGAACATTACCCCGCTCGAGCAGAGAATCCCTGGTTCCAGCAGTTTTGGTCGCCAGTAAAAATACTGAGACGTGTGATTTCGCGCTCGAGCGGGCTCTCTAGCGCTCGAGCGGACCTCTGTTATATCACGTGCATATTTTGCTGAAGATGCTCGAGCGGGCTGTTGGGCGCTCGAGTAGCGATCGCGGGACAGATTCTATAAATTCGCGTGTTGGGTCAGATTTTAGGATAACTACTCCAGATCTTCTTTTTGGGTTCTAGGGTTTATATCTGGGGATACTTTGTGAGTTTTCTTTAATGTTTTGATTGAGTATTCAACTCATGTTTTAAAGAGTATACATCAAAGGTTTTGTTTGTTCTACAAAAGAAAGAGTTGTTCTTCAGTGGATTCTGAAGAATTCGAGCCTGAAGCTTTGGTGGATTCCGGGGTGGCTCATTGTAAAGACAATTCCGAGGTGAAGACGGGTTGGAAGAGGCACATAGAGGTTGGTTCAATTAGGCGTGGATTCGCTAGGTAATTGAGAGTATACCTGTGTAATTCCTTTAAATCTTCTTAGTGGATTGTTTTGTGGCTGTTGCCCGTGGTTTTTTAATCACAGTTGGAGGTGTCCAATTGTGGTTTTTTTCACGTTAAAATCGTTGTGTTGATTTGTCTTGATTGTTTGATTGAGATTGTTGTTTACTGCTTAAAATTGATACATAATCACAAATCAATATCTAGGGGATTTCTAGATTTTTCATGATGTTTTTGAAAACTCCTTCGTTTGGCACTTCACCCTAAAACTTGTTGAAGGAAAGATTGAGATCGCCAAGTAAGTTCAACTGCCCTAGAAACAATGGAATCTTTCCAGACTGATTGTTGCAAGAAAAGTCCATGTATTCAATGGCTTTTAAGTTTTTTAGCTCTGATGGAATGGTTCCCTCAAAAAAGTTGCCTTCCATATGCAGGGAGCCTAACATCAAACAGTTCCCAAGAGTACTTGGGATTTCACCAGACAATTTGTTTTTTGAAATATCCAATACTGTGAGCTTGTCTGACTTACCCACTTCTGATGGAAATGGTCCTGTTAAATAGTTCTCACGTACGATGAAACCGAGAAAGAGGGAAGAAAGACCAATGACTTCTCCAGGTATGCCACCGGTGAGGCGATTTCGTGCAAGATGGAGTCCTTCCAAGTTACTGCAATTACCCAAAGAAACAGGTATGCTTCCCTCGAGCATATTTTCTTCTAAAATAAGAGAAACTAATCCAGTGATGTTGCCAATAGAGTATGGAATTTCCCCAGAGATGTTATTTATGAAAAGGTAGAATTTTTGTAAATTAGTAAGTTTGCCAATTGAATCGGGAATGCTACCTGTGAGCATGTTTGTATCTATAGTGATCTGAGATAAGCCAACAAGCTCTGTAATCTCTTGAGGTATGTTTCCAGATATGTAGTTCTGATCCAACCATACCCATGTGAGGGTGCTGGAGAGATTTCCGATCGAATTGGGTAAATTTCCACCAATCTGAATACTAGATAAACTCAGTACTCTTAGATTGGTACAATTAATCAAGGTGGTTAGGAAGCTGATATCATTGGCCTTATCAGTTCCAAGTGGGTTAGTGGCAATATGTAAAACTTGCAGATATTGAAGGCTTCCTATATTTAACGGTATTGGCCCGGTCAAAACATTGTCTCCGATACTTATTTTGGCAAGGCCGGAAGCATTGGCTAGTGATGCTGGAATGGACCCAAAGAATTGATTTTTACCAGCTAAGAACGATTGGAATTGAGGAGGGTTCTGGCCTAACTTGGATGGAAAACTTCCACCCAATGAGTTGTTTGTTACCGCAAAAGCTTGGATGGAAGAGGAGATGTTGTAGAGCTGGGCAGGAACCACACCAGATAGTGTATTCAAAGACAACTGGAAGTAATGCAAATTTGAGAGTTGTCCAAGCTCACTTGGAATGCTGCCATGAAGATTGTTTCTCAGCAGGTCAAGTGTCTGAAGGGCAGAGAGGTTCCCAAGTGAAGGTGGAATGATTCCAGAGAAATTATTTCTGGAAAGAGTCAATTGATTGAGCTTAGACAAAATACTCAATTCAGGAGGAATACTCCCTTCAAGGTTGTTTCCTTTCAAATCAATGACTCGGATATGTGAGCAATGAGTCAGATTGATAGGAATTTCTCCCTGGAAAGAGCTATTTGCCAGACGAAGATTTTGCAGGCGAAACAATCCACCAATTTCTTGAGGGATTGTGCCACGGAAGTTGTTTCCCTGAATATTGATCTCTTCAAGGAACATAAGGTTACCTATCTGAGGAGACAGGGAACCAACCAACTTAAGTGATGACAGTTTTAGGGCGGTCACTCGTTGGTGCCGACGCAGACAGGTGACTCCATGCCAGTTGCAAAAATGATTAGAATCATTCCATGAGCTAAGAAATCGTGAAGGGTTTGGCCAAAAATGCAATGGAGTGCATGTAAAAGAGAAGGTAATAAGAGAGAATGAAAGATAAACTGACCTGCCTGGAAAACATACTTGTGTGCACCATTTTAGTATATGAAAGAGTATGAATCAAAAGTTTCTGCTCAGATTGGATATCTAACAAAGGTATTTGGCAAACAATTGGCAACTATATTTGTGAAGACCAATCTTCAATCCTCCAATAGTTGTGTGACCAATAGCCAACCTTCTAATTACCCATGATTGTTGGGAGAGAATACATTGAGTCAGGCCCACACATTAACATTGAGTCTTGCTATACTCTGTACAAATGTAACCGTGATGTCACCTTACAGCTTCCAGTCCAACCATCATTGAATGAGATTATGCATGGTTGTAGTATGTTTGCTTAGGGTTGGATAAAGGACACAATTAAGGATAGGATTATTGTTAGGGGGGTTTAGTCAAAACTCTCTCATAATAAAATTTTTAATGCATTAAAAACAAGTAAACAAAGTTTTTCTTGAAAAATCTAACGCATACCATTATTATCAAAATATTAAATTTTAAAATAATATAACTTTTGATGTAGATGTTGGTTTTTAATAAAATTAGTATTTTTTAAATTCTCCCATCAAGATCTATCAAATAAGATCCATCTTGACTATGAAATTCTTAAAAAAAATAAAGAAATATTACCGTCAAAATTGATGTAAACAGTAATAGTAACATGTTATTTTGTTTAACAGTTACTCTGTTTGACGGTAACATGTTACTCTAGCAATATTGTCCAAGAAAAAAATATATATATTTTATTTTGTCCTTACTCAATTATGTGTTTTCTCCTTAGGCGGTTTATAAAGCAAAATAAATTGGGCTATCATTTTCACCAAATAAAAGTCCAATGAAGGGGTTTTGGCTAAGTTTCCTTTATTTTATGTTACTCTTCCATAAAATTTGGGTGTCTCTCAGTGCCCAAACCCATTTTTAAGGTAAGAGTATATATATACTACACAAAGGTTTCATAAAAAGCCAATGTGAAGTAAGTTTAGTTTGCATTATTGATATTTTGAGTGCAAAAATGTTAGAGGTGTTAAAAATTTTACTAAAAAAATTATCAAATGTCTCACATGGGCGTGGGACCCACATGAGACCTACATTGTGTAGGTTCTATATCATGTAAGACATTTGATAAAAAAATTTAATAAAATTTTTAAGATCTTTAACATTATTGAGAGTTAATTTTCCGTTCACTTCTAAATAAGTAATATGTGTTAGTTAGTTTACTCATAGAGGAGATTTCTTTACATTGTAGATCTGCTTTGACCAAAACATTAATTATTAAAACTACTTTTCAACATTTTTTTGATAGTTGAATGAATGAAAAATAAAAAATTATTCAGAATATTGGCTATTTCTCATTTGATTCTATTCCATAATAATATCAAACACGAGACTATTCAACATGTGAGGTCTAGCTTGGGGTGCTAAACGAACCAAGTTATTCGAACTTGACTTATGTTGGGTTTGTGAAAAATTTGTTCGAGATTTACTCGTTTTGTAAACAAGCTAAATTTAAACACAATTTTAAGCTCAATAAGTTTTCAAGCTAAGCTTGAACAATCTATTACACGGCTCAATAAACTTATATACATTATAAAAAATCAAACTACTCGAACTCAATTCATATTCGGCTCGTTAAAAAAATCATTTGAATTGATTCGTTATGCAAATAAATCAAATTTAAATATAATTTTAAACTCATTAAATTATCAAACCAATTTAAACAACTAACTATCCGGCTTGACTCAACTCATTTTCAGCCATAGGTCTAGCTGTCACCTCACTCCTTATTCCCACTAATCTCGCCGTCAAATAAAGCATATTAGTATTATTATTACTTTTCAAAAAAAGATTTTTAAATTTTATTTATAATGATATGATGAGTTTAACTTACATCTCTTGTCGTTCTAAATAAATTTAAATATTTAAATTATAGAAATGTCTAGCATTCTTCCACCATTTTTCCTCTCTCACTTCTGTCAAGTTTTTTTTTTTTAGATCGGTCACTTCGTCAAGTTTGAGTTGGACAATTTTTGATTAATTTTCTTTAAACAAAAAAATCTACGTCTATTTTATTGTACTTGAAATGTTCGAATGCATGCAATTGGAATTTTTTTATTTTTTTTAAATGACCCTACATTTGTTGAAAAAAAAATATTTTTTGAAAAATATTATATTTTTTAATGTTTAATAAAACAGAAAATAAACATATTTTTGGCATAAAATACTTTTCACTTTTAAAATGTACAAAAATGTATTTTAGACTAAAATGTTACTAATGCTACCAAACTACTATTCTCTACCATCACCTTCACTTCACCACCCCACCAGCACCACTATCATTACCGTCACAACCAACACCACCACCACCACTCCCACAACCTCCACCACACCATTGCCACCGTCGCCACCATAATCGTTGCTATTACCACCACCACTGCAACCACTACTGCCACCATTACCCCTTTTCTACCGCCATCATCCCAGTGTTGAAAAATAATGGTTTTTTGGTGACTATAATAATGTAATATTAAAGTGGGTGTCAATCCTCAATTGAGGTGGAGTAGAGTGGGTTTAGATTCTTGGTAAGAAATCTTTACATCGCAAAAAAGAATGACAAAAAATCATTAAGATTTGAATGAGAAATTAACTCATTAATTTGGCCTCATGAAAGAAGTGTTGGGAAAGGTGTATAACCTTCTATCCCACATTGATTATAGAGGAGTATTGATGGGTATTTAAATCTCATCTTTTGCCTAAGGGTGTGAGCCCTTTGAGGTATTCAAATTTTCCAAAGGAAGGGAGTTATGGAGATGCTTCAAGGATGGACTTGTGCCAAAATTATGGACCAAGTTGGTTATGCAAAAATTGCCATACGCACGCCGCCCACCTAGGCCGAGTCCATGCTCCGTGGATCTTAAGGCTTGAGGCTTGCTGGATTGGATTGAGTGTGGGGGTTGGGTCGGGTTTCTTGACCCACTATCTTAATCTTTTTGGACCAAACCAAATATGTGGTTGCAGTATACATAATTTACATGTGTGTAAAACCTAGTAACTCCTCTATATTTATGATGGATTAAATCCATCAGTTTTGCAGAGTTTAATACTGCATTTGTGGATTAAATCCATCAGTTTTGTAGAGTTTAATACTGCATTTGTGATGGGCCTTGATGGCAGAAGCCTCTTCCTCTCTCCCTCTGAGTATAAAAAAAGGCCTCTCTCCTTCAGTTTTCCACCTCCAGAAATTCTTGCTCTCTAGTTTTCTCCAGTTTTATATTTTTCTTAGTGAGAGAGTGCTGCTTGAGTTTTGTTCATCGAAGTTACACCGTAGTTGCTTGGTTGTAGTTGGTCCAACCGTCGTATCCTAGGAGATAGATGTCAAACAACCTCCAGCACCCCAATCAGTGAAGCGGCGAATCTGTTTTAAGAAAACTGTCTAGTATAGGTTTCGGTTTGCTTTCTTTTGCTATTTTATTTGATTATGCATACCACTAATACATTAGTTTTAAGGACACAACTAAAAGTAAAAAATATTTTTTATAACAGAAAATATTTTCTAATAAAATAAAAAAAGAAAAGAAAAGAAAGCCATGGAGTTAACTGTAAAAATTTAAGAAACGTTCAGTGGGAAACAAAAATTGACCTTACTTTTTCTTGCCTTCTCTTCTCAGCTGCTACCTAATTTGTGTTTTGAAGGTGTGTACCATATATAACTGCTAATGAATAGAGTCATTCATAAACAGATTCAAGCTTGGTTTGATAAGGGCTTGCTTGAACTCGGTTGGTTAAATTTTTTTTTACGTTTGAGTTCGAATTCGAGCTCATCAAAATCTTAATAAACAAGCTCAAATATACTAAAGTTTGGCTTATTAGTTGACTCATTTAACATTTATTTAAATAATAGAATAATTATATTATTTGTATATTAAATAATGTAAAAATATGTATAAAAAATAGGATAAATATGTTATTTATATATTTAAATAATATAATATCAATAATATTTAAATTTAGATAATACATTTATATAATAGTAGTGGTAAATATTATTATTTTGGTAAGATATTGACTTTTTTTTAAAAGTATATATATATTGTATAATTAAAATTTCCATTGTAACTTTAATCTCATAGGCAAATATAAATTTATAATTTCTTTGATTCGTTAAGACTCGTGAATAGGCTCGAGTTCAAATCAAGTCTAAGCCAACTCAACTCGAGTTCGGTTCGTTAAATTTTTATTGAGCTCGAGTTCGACCTTGTTAAAATCTTAATAAACATACTACAACATTCTAAAATTTGACTGGACTCATTTACAGTCCTATCATATTATAACCCTTCAAGTAATGCTATATATATAAATATTTTAATTATAAACTGACGGGAAAGGTTTAGCTAGTTTCTATTAGGATAAATTATAATTTTTACTCTTTATAATTTGATTAAAGTTTTATTTTAGTTGGGTAAATTATATTGGTAGCCTTAGTATTTTTGTCCTTGTATTATTTTGATCTCTTTAATTTTAATTGACTCAATTTAACTATAAATTTATAACTTTGTCACAACATATATATTTTTAAATCAAAATCAAAATCAAAATTTATATTTTATGGATGTGAATCACCTAGGTTGGCCTAGTGGTGTAAGGTTGGGACTTAGGAGTTTACTTCTCTCTAGGTGTCCATACAGAGCTTTGCTCTGGCCAGTGGGATTGGTCCCCCAGGGATTAGTCGAGGTGCGCACAAATTGGCCCGGACACCCTGAGTTATCAAAAAAAAAAATATATATATATATATA